ATATAAAGTAATAGACAATTTAATAATTTAAAATCTCCAAGTTTTCCTGATTATTATTACAAAAATAACGTAGCCACATCATTTTGCAAAATGACCTAAAAAAGTCTTGGACATAGTAGATGTAACAATACTAAATTAATCGATTCCTTGCTAAAATCTTAAATTTAATGACACAAAATATTCTAGATTACCATAAAATTACCTTTTAACAGGATCGTTTAAAGCTTGGCACCTTACGAAAATATTTGATATATAATCCAGGTCAGTCTGAACAAAACAAAGCGAAATGATAAAGACAAAAACACGAAATATATAAAAAATGGCTATCTGAACCAATCTTGATTCACTAAGTAAAAGTGCCAGAAATGTGATTTTATTATATGTAAATGCCTTCTATCAAATTCTAATATTAACTCTAATATGAATTAATTAAAAATCAAAAAAATCGGAAAAATCATATAGTTTCATAATGTGTCAGACTTTAAACGACCCTTTTTAATGACCTATATTATTAATAATTTATACTAAATCTAGAATATTTTATCACTATCACAAAATATAAGATTTTTGCAAAGTAGTTATTAACTAAAAAATAAACAGCTAACTAGTAACACTACCTTTGGGATTGGTCCATCCGTCGAACGCAATTGTAAGATTAATTTCATTATCGAGAATTCATCTAACTTTTATATTTATTCGAGCAAGTTCTTGGTCTAAAAGAGTATTTGATAAAATCCAATGATTTAGAAGAGCATAGGTACCACGTAACGTCTTAGTATATTCTTGAAAAAAGGGATGCTTAATGAGGGAGAAAGGTAAATTACAACACACGAACATTTTTAGTAATATCTTGTTAATTTGTTCTTCCTTACTTAATGAAGTAGGAACATTTTCAAATTCACTATCAATATTAACACTATTTTCTAATTTTCGTTTTTGCTTGCTGTAGTTGATGTCGAAGCCGTATCATTATCTGAATCATCACGATCGTTTGTTAATAATACTAACATTTTTATTTTAATATCCGAGTTCACTTTTTTACATTCATACGCAAGATGTGTTCTTAGTTTACTTGGTTTAGCAGTTGCCCATTGGTGATCACAAAAAAAACACGTTGCAGAATAGTATTCTTTGGCAGATACTTCATCTCCCTTTACAAACCAATTCCATACTTCACCAGGAGGACGTCCACCTTTTTTTTTCTTAACTGAAGATTTTTTATTCAATGACATTTTTTGTTAAAACAAGAAGCTTAAAACAATTATTACAAAATTTTATTTTAAAATATTTAATTGTATTTATTGTTATCATTTTTAAGAATTTTGGATACTATACAATGCTTCGTTTAGAATTTTAATTCACGTATAAAGGCTTCAATTAGATTCGACTTCAATTAGCCTTTCGACCAAAGATTTTAGTTTTGGAAATAATCATCTTGGACTGAAAATTGATAAAATCTGAAACCGAAACTAGGTCTGAAAATCCAGGGGTTTCGGTCACATGTATAATATATGCCTTAAAAGTTTAGGATAGTTATATAATAAACATAAAAACAATACAAATTTACAAATATACAAATTAGCAATATTAATATATTGCACAAATTAATACAATAATACAATATTAACGCATAATGATGAGTATTACTAGGCATGATAGTTGTTAAATAAGGATAAAAAAATAAAAATAATTTTGATTTTAATTTGTAAATTATATTTATAGTTGATTAATACTCATAATCATACAAAGAAGCTTATAAATTAATAAATATATAAAATTAATTCATCTTATATAAATATAGTAAAGTTTTTTAGATATTGGTCTTTTTTAATTCTATTGCACTTTGTTGAAGCAATAAATGATATTTGCAATAAACTTTGATTAGTGAACATCATGTTCTAAAGTATACTAGTGTCCTATATATACTTTGCTATATGAATAGATCTATATACATATGTAATATTAATCAGTTATATGCTTAATAAGTAGATATGTGTTTTTTTAATTAATTTATATTATAGTATTAGCCAATCAAACAATTTTATATTTTGAAATCTACATATAGAATCTTCTTTTTAGAATTGTTTTAATAAAAAATAAGTAATGCAATTGGTTTTGTTTTTCTATATAAATAAAAACAAAAAATTAAATTTTGAAAAAGTATTGTTAATTTTAACAGGCTGTGAAATTTATAACTTTGCATCTGACCAACCAAAATTGCAAAATTATCGCAATTAGCAATTTTTTTGTGTAACAAAAACAAAATTTTTTAAAAAATTAAAAAATTATTTATAACACAAAATCTAGTTTAAGAAACTGCCTTTGATATTATTAAGTAAAAAAAAATTCTTGCTAAATTTTACTATAAGATTTATTATTTATTATAACTTTAACCTAACTTTAACTAAATAAAAAACTTTTTAAAATGAGAATATGAATTTTACAGCTTGTAAATTGTAAAATCTTCTTTTTAAAAAAATAAAATTTTTGTTTAAAGAAATATTTTTGTTAAAAATATACATCTTTTTTTGCATAAATTATAAAATAAAATTATTAAATTAAACATTAATTGTATGTGATAAATTTAAATAAATATTAAACTTGAATTATCTTGGTGTATTGATTTTATCATAATTTGTAAGAATATGTTAAAATATGTAAAAATATGTAAGAATATATAAAATTTTGCCCATCTTTAATCGTATCCCCTGTAAAAATTTAATTGATCAAAACTCAAATCATTAAAAAAAAATCAATAAATAAATAATAAATAAAACAGATGATTAACAAAAAAAACTTTTAATAAAATGAACTTATGATGTTTTACACTTATGAATACATTATCTCAAAAACTAATTAATCAGTGCGAAATGTCCCAAGTAAAAGTGTTCTACAGCTCAAAACCTTTCTCAAACTTTTAAGTCTAACCCTAAATAATAACCTTAACGTGAAAAATTTTGTTTTTTTTTTTTTTTTTTTTTTATAGAATGACCTTATTGGTCGGGGGTTTTCCCTTTATTAAAGTATCTACAGTCCTTATTTTTACGAAGGGGTTTACAGTAATATATCAACGAGAGTACAATAAGCCACATATACAACTTTAGTTATTGTCTATTTAAGGGTTCCACACGTAGGTTCCCCACTCATTGCCATATCTAAGACCCACTTGTAAGTCCCCTATTTAAACTCTCTGATTTTCAATGTTATTCTGCTCACGTGATCTTTAATTTAGATACTTTGTCCAACCTTCAGGCTACTTTACCCGTGAGGTAAATTCTACCGAAGGAGGTAGTTCCCACAGCCACATCTTATCTGGATTTTATTGTGCCAGAGGTGATTCCATATTAGGTAAGGCCAATCCTTTCCACAAACGTCGGCGACATTCTCTACATTTCTCACTATAGTAGTGCCCACACTCTGCCGTACCGGTTTCCTTCCGGGAATTCCTTAAACCAAACATGTACCTTCACATGAACTTCCACAGGGCTTCGTGTATGATTATAGGCTCCTTTTTAGGTTACAGAGTATTCTACCTCCAGCCAAACTCGAACCGTCGACCTTGTCTGTGGGGGGACGGGAGCTTATCCATTAAGCTATGGGACCCAAACCCCACGTGAAAGATTTTGTGTTAAAAATTTTATATACAAAGCTTATAAAAATTAGAAAATCCAAAAAATATAATAAAAACATATAGGTGCCAAATCACCATTGGTGTGTTTTAAAATACATAACAAAGATAACAAAAGTAATCAATAATAATTTATTGTATTGATGCAAAGCATTAAAGAATTTATACGCCTGAACAGAAGGCCACAAGAAATGATGCTAGAAAAAAAAGGTTGGTCTTTATGACGCCTGAAGAACAGTTAACGTTAAGTTTATACCTATGGTCGAAATATTTCGGCCACTTGGCAAATGTTCAAAGCAAAGTTATCAATAATTTGTAAATGTAATAGAAATTAGGCCTCATCTAGGTTAAACCAGATCCGCAGAACATTATGCAAGCCTTTTTGGTATTTCGGCAAGACCTTTTGATATTTCGGTAGACTTTGGAAGTTTCGGCTGTATATTAAATACCGATTGCCGAAAATTTCAGAGCCTGCTGAAATACCAAAAGGGCTTGCATAAGGCTCTGCGGATCTGGTTTAACCTATACGAGACCTTATTTCTATCACATTTTAAATTATTGATAACTTTGCTTTGAAAATTTGCCAAGTGGCCGAAATGGCCAAAACATTTTGGCCACATGTATAGTTAAGTTATTGAAATAATGAGTCAATAAAAAGACAAGATCGGTGCAAGCGTCAAATAATATTGTCGAAAAAAAAAAATACAAATCCAAATAATATTTATTTACATTTTGTAGAATCTTAAATTATAAAAATATATAGTTAGCTAACTTTTTTTAGAAAATATCAAATATCTTGCTGTTACCACTTGCATGCCAGCTTTCCGATTACGATCATAGTCAATGCTGTTTCTGTACTTAAATTCAATTGCTGTCTAATTGTGAAGAGAGTTTTCCTGCAATTGTATTTAGAGGATTGGTAAATGGGACAATGGGTACAACTATCGATATTGTATATGAACTTGGAAAGACGCCGCCCACATTACTTACATTAATATTGCCAGAATGGATAACTATACAGGTCCAACATTAAGTACGTTAAAAATTTCAGGAGTGGTACCCCCGGTGGTTGATTTCACATATATAATTATATTTTTATACGTGTGTTTCATGAAATTTTTTTTTTCTGATATTGTTATTGATGTATATTAATCTGCATGTGATCGAGAATTTTTAAAATTTTTACTTGTTCTGTTTTGGAACGCATACGTGATTTTATTGGTTTATTTTGATTACCTCGAAAGCTATCTTGGCACAAAGATAACCTAATGGAACTAAAGAAATTAACTAACAAGAATATTTTTTTAAGACGTGGCCAGTAAAAATCTTCTTCCAAACATTTGTTGTAAAATTATATAAATTAATAACAAACATGCAGGCTCCAAAAAATGGATCTAAAGATTTATCTGAAATCAATGCATTACGAGAATTAAATTCTAAGCTTGTTGTTACAATTACAGAGCTTAGAAAGGAGAATGTTAAAATTCCCAAACTTAGAAGGGAGGTTGCTGGATTTAAAAAGAAATATACTGAAATTGAGAATATATAAGGCAAATTATTAGGGATAGTTCTAGACATGAAGCTGAATATACGAAACTCAAAAAAGATACTACTAACCTCAAGACCGAAAACGCTGAATTTAAAGCTAGAGTTCCGACATTGGAACAGAAACAATCGCAAAACGATGAAGAAAAGAACAACCATATTGATATAAATCTAATACATATAGACATCAGAATTTTTATAAACAGTTGACAGTTAATTTCTTTATAATTTTATTGAATTATTTTAACAAGAACACAAGTTATTATATAATTTACTATATTTTGCTACATTAAATACTATACTTAATACTATACTTAATACTATACTTAATACTATACTTAATACTATACTTAATACTATACTTAATACTATACTTAATACTATTAGCAATTAAGTTTACTATATTCTATTATAAATAGCGTCCTCTTTTTTTAATTTTGCAACCGAAATTATTGGGTGCACATTCATTAACGTTAAAGAATACTCATAAAAATGGTAAGATGGCTGTTAAAATATTGTGCTACATACCGTTATACGTGCATATATTTATGATATATACGGTATAATTAATTTCTGTAACATCTTAAAATTATGGCCGATGAATTTAGTTCTAAAAGAAATCATGAGTATGGATTATGTGCGAATTGCGATCTATATAACACATATTACGCTTGGTGCCAAACATGCGACCCTCATACGATAGTACAAGGATGGACAAGTGGAAATAAGGAAGTCGATGATTGTATTAAGGAAATTCAACTTAAAGCCACAAAATATGAAGATGTAATCGAGTGGATTCCTTTCAACAGATTAGTTAATATTCAAGAGAATGGAGACAGATTTTCAGCAACCTGGTTAGATGGTGTACGATATGTAAATAAAAATTGAAAATTATGAAGTTGTTGAATGTGCACAGTCACGTACACCGGCATGCATAATTACACTTAAGATATTGACTAAAACGCAAAATATTTTGGATATTTTGAAAGAAGTGAGATTATATTAACTTATCACATGTATTTTATTTAATTAATAATATGTATGCCTAATTATAATTATATATATTGTTTATATATTTTATAAGTTTAAAAATCATGTGCAATTAGAAAGTCAATTAGAGGGTAAAGGTGTCTATGGATTAACTCAAAACACAAACACGAATGAATATATGCTGGTATTTGATGAATTCTATTCTAAAAGAGATAGTCTATATGGAAAATGTGCAAATTGCAAACGATATAACACATGGTTTGCTTGGTGCCAAACATGTGACCCTTGGAAAACAACACGCGGATGGACAAGTGGAAATAAGGAAATCGATGATTGCATTAA